TATATATATATATATATATATATATATATATATATATATATATATATATATATATATATATATACACATATACATATATATATGTTTTATTTTGACAGAAATATTCCTGTGATATCAATTGCTGTTGCGATATAGACTGCAATAATTTTCAACTGTCTGCATTTTCGTATTGTCAAGACCACCATGCGAATCTTTATAACAGTCAATATTGCTACAATTGGAATTTTATACAACGGAATAATACGTCTTTCATTCTTGAAAAACTTACCAATAATTTGTTCTGCATTTTATATGACAATCTTCCATCTGCATACAATATTGACAACGATTTGGTAAGTACATTATAATAATTAACTCAAATGTCGAATTTGTACATGAATATATTTTATTATATTTGTAATGCTAATAAGATTACGTATCCATTTCATGTATGTATGTATTGTATCTTGTATTGTGTAGCTATTAAATAGTATTTGTTTTAGGTACTACAAAACGAAAAAGATTTATGGGAAGTGATACAAGTGATTAAATATAAATGGAATTTTAAAAATCATAAAACCATACCCAAATCTAATTTATCTAAGCGTTATCAACATGGTGACATATTATGGAAATTAAATAACGAATATATTGAACCAATAGGTAATGTAAAAATATTAATATATTTAAAACAATAAAATAAGAAAATATAATAAATAAGTTTTTATTTTTATTTTGTTAAATGCTAATTTTCTTAGACGAGACATATAAAAATATCGGTTTATTTTGAATGCAGTTAAAGTCTTTTTCTAATTATTAGTATACAGGGTGTCTGACTCGTACCGTACCAAAGCTAATATATAACTAGAATAGTCAGTGCGAATAATGGAATCGGTGTCTTTTTTTAAACAACCATGTGAAATTTTGAGTTGATAAATAAAATAGATAGGCTAATCAGAGCGCGGCGACGCGGCAGGCGGAACATATGGCTCGTCGCGGTTGGTGAAGAAAATGGACGATTGCTCGCGGGCCTATTACGCAGTGTTAGATCTAAGATATAGTCCTCACCTCTAGGCCTATGATATAGGCTCGTGAACAATCGTCCATTTTCTTTGTTGATCGTGGCGAGCCGTATGTCCCGCCTGCCATGTCGCGCACTTTGATTAGCCTATCAATTTTATTTAATAACTCGAAATTTTACGTGGTTATTTAACAAAAGACACCGACTCCATTACTCACCCCGACCTATTCTAGCTATATATTAGCTCTGGTAACCCATAGCACGTAATATTACAATAATATCACAGTAATATTGCAATATCACAATAATATTACATGTTATAATATAATATTACAGTAATATTATTGATATGTTACTTTGTAATGTTGCACAGTAATATTGTTGTGTAATATATTAAATCCTAAGTAGAAAGGTAATGTCAAATAACATTTTCATTACGTCATTAAAATGTTATTAAAACGTCATGCAATGTTACTTGGCACGTAATATATCGTATTGAAGTATAAATAATATATTTCAAAAGTAATATATTATTTTGTGATATGACAAATATCTTCCTTGTTAATAATATTCACAAGAGGAACTTTCTTTCTTCGGGTAACTGATTTTGCCGAACTTTTGTAGGAATATAATATTGATACAGAAGTAACAAACGCTATTCGGAGACTATGCAATTCTCAACCGTTTACGAGAAATTGCGGTTTGAAGTTTAACAAGTCCTTTTTTCCATTGTAGTAGAACACGAATCGAGCAGCGGCGTAGCGCAGCAGACTAGGCGCCACGCTATAAGTCTGCATGTAAGGTGTTCCGAGCTGGTTCGAGCACAATTCGGTTTAGTTTTTTTTACATAGTTCTTTATTGGTGCGAATAAAAATATGTAAAATATAAAATAATACGCAGACAAATCCTTTATAAAATCGAACACTTTTATTACAACAATGACTGTGATATATTACAGTAATATTACTGTGATATCTCAGTAATATTACATATTATTTAATATTTCCCACACAGCACGTAATATCGCAGAAATATCATAGCAATATTATATTTTCATTGCAATATTACCAGGGAATATAACAGAAATAATGTTGGAATATTACTAAGATATCACAGTAATATTAAAATGTCTGCGGCAAATGCATCACAGTAATATAATGGTGAAAATCACAATGATATTACTGTGAGAAAATCATAATATTTAAAAAAATATATTTATTTATTCCTAGTTTTCTCATGTTTCATAAACTACTACATATCGAAGGTTGTCAAATACACTCCAAACTTTCGTGAAATCCTCCAACGATAATTTCGATCCCAAGCAGTATACCACTGGTCACCATCCATCTATGTCCTGACCGCATTAAACTGTTGCTTAACCTGACGATCGGCGCGCACGCGGTGACTCTGATGACTCCAACGATGTTCTTACAATTCATGCTTATATATCCTTATATTGTTCACAGTATATTATAACATACT